GAACCGATTCGGGTCAGGGATAAGGGTCATCAAGTGATGATGAGATTTGAAAAAAGAAGACAAAGGGAAGACGAGTCACTCGATCGATTCCTGGATGATCTTGAGAGATTGAGAAGAAGAAGCGACCCGGAAGAATCGACGAACAGAAGAAACTTCAGCATCATTTCCTTGTCGGTATGAGAAGTGACGACTTGAGAACGATGCTGGCAACGTATTATACACTATCAAAGGATAATGCACCGACCCCAGAAGAGATGAGACAAAATTCAAAAGAGTACAAGTTAATGAAACGAAAAAAGTACTCATACTCAGAAGGCAGGAAGATGCAAGGGGGGAGCCAGCCATAAAGGTCGTCATGGTACACGCCTAGAGACGACAGGGACAAACGTAGGTCATGCGCAAATTGTGGATCAGCGGATCATCATTTAGCGGATTGCACGACATACAAGAAGGGTATGAAGAGCTCGGGATACGCACCGGAGGAAGAGGACATTAATAAAACGGAGGAACATGAGTTTTACAGTGGCTTGATCATTAAGATAGGCGCGAAGTATTTTCTTTCTGCAATCAGGAGGGGCATTTCAGAGTAGAGTGTCCTTTGTTTTGGTAGGCGGTGAAGAATCAGAATCACCCGAAACACAAACTAGCACTATCCGCAGTGCAAAATACTAGAAACAGACAAGCTGAAAACGATTTGAACAACAACAAAGAAGCAGAGAGTGCTGAATTATCGACAAATACAGTAAAGGCCGTGACACAAAACAAATATGCCACGGAGGCCGAAAAGAGAAACTCTCTAGAGATAAATTATGAAAGAGCAGCTGTAGAGGCGATCAACAAAGTGAAGCAAGACTAGGCGACCAAAGAAACCGAACAACGGCTGATACAGGAAATAGAAAAAAAGAGGTTAAATGAAACGCTCTGTATGACAAGACCAGAACCAGAGACCGGAGAGAACTCGGTGAGCAAGGGCAACTGCAACACCGTGAAAATGTTGACTAGAAAACCCTTTGGCATCACGAATATTGGGGTAAGAATCATCTCAATAATCACAGTGGGTGGCCACGAAGTAACAAGAAACCTGAATGAAGCGAGTGATCAGACAGTTATGGACATAGATGTGTACGCGGATTACTTGAGTGCAATAAGCCCGCAAACTCCTTCTAGAGCTTTAAGGGCATTACTCATGAGAGGTGGTAGTAAATCAGTTCGCATAGACAACATATACACGGAAGCCTATGGACCCTATGAGGTCATGTTGAATATAGATGGTTTAAACATCTACACCAAAACGATGATAACATGTGATGAGGATCTAGCCGGGCAAATCTATAATGGTAGAGAGGAACTAAAAGTGAGATCATTGATCACTGTGCTACGCTGGAAGAGGATGCCATGCATCTGGTAACGGAAGCAGATGTGTCTGCACACGTATTGGAAATAAGCGGAAAGAAGACACAACTGCGTGGGTTGTTGGACACGGGAGCCGTCTTGAGTGTAATACCAATTGAGATTTGGAGAAGAATGGGATTCGGCAAAGATGAGCCGATTGACTCATGGATACGGCTCCCAGCGGCAAACAAGGGGGCGCTTCAGGTTATAGGTAGGACACCTATAATAGCCCTAAACCTGGGAGAACGCAATATGTGGATGAGCTTTCTGGTGGTGGAGAATCTAGATGAGTCTGACCAATTCATTCTAGGCAGGGATTTCATCAGGAATTTCGTTATAACAATTGATCCTAACAATGCGATGTTCAAGATTCGAAACCCGGAAAGTAAGTACGTAATTAAACCGGTAAATTTGATAATGGCGAATGAAAGTAAGGCTCCAGTTTTCTTGAATAGGAGTATAAGGCTGAAAGCGAATGAGGCGGTAATAGTAAGTTTACGGATGAAAATTATAATGAACTCAGCGACAAAAAACAAGGAAGAATAGTACCAATTCCAAACAGTCAAACTGCTGCCATTTTAGGAGTATCCTTCTCGATAACCGAGAGTGGCCTCTGCGCCAGTGTCTTGTTGAATACTCTTGATATAACAATCAGAATCCAGAGGGGGAGGAAGCTATGATACGCACTGCCCGTGAAAATTAGATATCAAATGACTGAAAATGTGAAAGGAAATGAAGTTCTTGATTGCCCAAATCACAGGGATAAAGTTTTTATCTTGAGACGATTGAAGAAAATAAAAAATTCATCAAATTTTGTGAAGTCACTTAAGTCAGAGACAGACGATGGACTGTCGTGCTGTTCGACTTTTTCAGAAAGACCCACGCTAGAAGAATTCGAAATGGATAAATCAGTATTACCAGAGATTGAACACTTAAGGGGGCATGTAACAGACAAATCGCTCGAAGCCATCAAGGACGTTCTAGATAGGAATCGGGATGTTTTTTCAAGACATAAGGCAAACATTGGATGCTGCAACTTTGTTGAACATGAAATAGAGCTAGAAGAACCGGCGGTGCCGCATAGGGAGGGGGCGAGGCGTATGACCCCAAACAAATCGGATGCTTGTAGTAAAAGAGATAGAGATCACGGTGAAAAATGCCTATCCCATACCTAGGATAGATGAAAGTCTCTCAAAATTAGGTGACGCAAAAATTTTTCACAATTCTTGATCTGGGGTCGGATTTTTGGTAGGTACCACTGAGGAAGCAAGACAGGGACAAGACGGGTTTTGCATGCGAACTAGGAATGTTTCAAATGGAAGAGGATGCCCTTTGGCCTCTGCAATGCGACAGCAACCTTCCAACGACTGATGGCACAAGCGCTGAAAAACGTAACAAAGAAATATGGCAATTTACTACTGTGCTACGTAGATGACGTGCTGATTGCAACACCTACACTAGAGGACCACATTGAAGGACTGGACGAGGTGTTTGCTTGTATGAAGACAGTAGGACTGAAATGCAAGCCATCAAAATGTGAGGTTCTCAAGGACTCCATCAAATACCTGCGAAGAATGGTGCGTAAGAGGCATTTCTGACTTGGAAATCGCCAAAAACAGAACACAAGTTGATGAGCTTCTTGGATTTCGCAAACTACTACACGGAATTCATCAAGGGCTATGCGGACAATGTATATCCAGTGCAACAACTCATGATGCACAAGGGTAAGAAGTTCACGTGGATTAACGCAGCAGAGGAATCATTTCAAAGAATAAAAACGTGCAAAGCACTAGTCCTGGGGATGCCCACGGAAAAGGGAAAGTAAGTGCTGCACACGGATGCATCGTTGGTAGCGATCTCTGGAATACTCAACCAAGAATGACCCTGTTGTAGTTTATGAAGACAGCAGGACTGAAATGCAAGCCATCAAAGTGTGAGGTTCTCAAGGACTCCATCAAATATCTGGGAAGAATGGTGGACAAGCATGGTATTAGACCAGACCCAGATGCGTTAGAGACATTTTTGACTTGCAAATCGCCAAAAACAGAACTCCAGTTGATGAGCTTCTTGGGTTTCGCAAATTACTACAGGGAGTTCATCAAGGGCTATGCGGACAAAGTATATCCAATGCAACAACTCATGAGGCACAAGGGTAAGAAATTGATGTGGATTAACGCAGCAGAGGAATCATTTCAAAGAATAAAAACGTGTGAAGCACTAGTGCTGGGGATGCCCACGGAAAAGGGAAAGCACGTGCTGCACCCGGATTCATCGTTGGTAGCAATCTATGGAATACTCCACCAAGAATGACCATGTAGTAGTTTATGAAGACAGCAGGACTGAAATGCAAGCCATTAAAGTGTGAGATTCTCAAGGACTCCATCAAATACCTGAGAAGAATGGTGGACAAGCATGGTATTAGACCAGACCCAGATGCGTTAGAGACATTTCTGACTTGCAAATCGCCAAAAACAGAACACCAGTTGATGAGCTTCTTGGGTTTCGCAAACATCTACAGGGAGTTCATCAAGGGCTATGCGGACAAAGTATATCCAATGCAACAACTCATGAGGCACAAGGGTAAGAAGTTCACGTGGATTAACGCAGCAGAGGAATCATTTCAAAGAATAAAAACGTGCAAAGCACTAGTCCTGGGGATGCCCACGGAAAAGGGAAAGTAAGTGCTGCACACGGATGCATCGTTGGTAGCGATCTCTGGAATACTCAACCAAGAATGACCCTGTTGTAGTTTATGAAGACAGCAGGACTGAAATGCAAGCCATCAAAGTGTGAGGTTCTCAAGGACTCCATCAAATATCTGGGAAGAATGGTGGACAAGCATGGTATTAGACCAGACCCAGATGCGTTAGAGACATTTTTGACTTGCAAATCGCCAAAAACAGAACTCCAGTTGATGAGCTTCTTGGGTTTCGCAAATTACTACAGGGAGTTCATCAAGGGCTATGCGGACAAAGTATATCCAATGCAACAACTCATGAGGCACAAGGGTAAGAAATTCATGTGGATTAACGCAGCAGAGGAATCATTTCAAAGAATAAAAACGTGTGAAGCACTAGTGCTGGGGATGCCCACGGAAAAGGGAAAGCACGTACTGCACCCGGATTCAACGTTGGTAGCAATCTCTGGAATACTCCACCAAGAATGACCATGTAGTAGTTTATGAAGACAGCAGGATTGAAATGCAAGCCATCAAAGTGTGAGATTCTCAAGGACTCCATCAAATACCTGGGAAGAATGGTGGATAAGCATGGTATTAGACCAGAGCCAGATGCGTTAGAGACATTTCTGACTTGCAAATCGCCAAAAACAGAACACCAGTTGATGAGCTTCTTGGGTTTCGCAAACTACTACAGGGAGTTCATCAAGGGCTATGCGGACAAAGTATATCCAATGCAACAACTCATGAGGCACAAGGGTAAGAAGTTCACGTGGATTAACGCAGCAGAGGAATCATTTCAAAGAATAAAAACGTGTGAAGCACTAGTGCTGGGGATGCCCACGGAAAAGGGAAAGTAAGTGCTGCACACGGATTCATTGTTGGTAGCAATCTCTGGAATACTCCACCAAGAATGACCCTGTGGTAGTTTATGAAGACAGCAGGATTGAAATGCAAGCCATCAAACTGTGAGATTCCCAAGGACTCAATCAAATACCTGGGAAGAATGGTGGTTAAGCATGGTATTAGACCAGACCCAGATGCGCTAGAGACATTTCTGACTTGCAAATCGCCAAAAACAGAACACCAGTTGATGAGCTTCTTGGGTTTCGCAAATTACTACAGGGAGTTCATCAAGGGCTATGCGGACAAAGTATATCCAATGCAACAACTCATGAGGCACAAGGGTAAGAAGTTCACGTGGATTAACGCAGCAGAGGAATCATTTCAAAGAATAAAAACGTGTGAAGCACTAGTGCTGGGGATGCCCACGGAAAAGGGAAAGTAAGTGCTGCACACGGATTCATTGTTGGTAGCAATCTCTGGAATACTCCACCAAGAATGACCCTGTGGTAGTTTATGAAGACAGCAGGATTGAAATGCAAGCCATCAAAGTGTGAGATTCTCAAGGACTCCATCAAATAACTGGGAAGAATGGTGGATAAGCATGGTATTAGACCAGAGCCAGATGCGTTAGAGACATTTCTGACTGGCAAATCGCCGAAAACAGAACACCAGTTGATGAGCTTCTTGGGTTTCGCAAACTACTACAGGGAGTTCATCAAGGGCTATGCGGACAAAGTATATCCAATGCAACAACTCATGAGGCACAAGGGTAAGAATTTCACGTGGATTAACGCAGCAGAGGTATCATTTCAAAGAATAAAAACGTGCGAAGCCTTAGTGATGGGGATGCCCACGGAAAAGGGAAAGTACGTGCTGCACACGTATGCATCGTTGGTAGCGATCTCTGGAATACTCCACCAAGAACAGGAATGGTACGGAAAGACAGTCTTGAGACCGATAGCTTACGGGAGCAAAGTCTTCAGTGATACAGAGATGAAGTACGGAGCAGCCAAAGCGGAAATGTTCGCGATAGTCACTTTTGTAGAAAAATATAGGACATACCGGGGTAGCGAGCCATTCAAGCTGCGAGTTGACAACAGAGGTTAAAACCGTACTCAATGGACCAGAGCTACATCGGGAGATGGATGGTGCGCCTGGATGGTTACAACATGATTATTGAGCACAGAACAAGGGACAATCATCAAACTGCCCCGACAACATGAGCAAAAAGACGGAGTTTTGAGAGAGACAGGAGCAAAGGGAGGCCGACATGCCGGAAATCAAAGATGGCTTCTCATTTATGGGAAAGGCGACGTATTCCAGTGTCCCTTTCCGAGGTGGCTTGACAAGTCAAGAAAACCAATAATGGACCATCCCGAGCTACCAGCAGAACACGAGGCGAAAGAAATTTACAAGAGGAAAACAGGGATGCCATTTGAAATGATGCTCAAGTCGAAGATAGTGAGGGAAACACTAAAAGCAAAAAGCTATGACCTCGATGAAGTGGAGACAAGAAGGGGGACGATAGGAGAAGATCTGGGGAATTTACACGAGAATCTAGCCGACGATAAACCGGTATCCCGGAACAATGATAAAGACAAACCGGAAGTCACCATATTGAAAAAAAGGGAAGTGGCTCAAGGCGAGGACTCAACAATAAGGCAACTTGACGACAAAGAAGTTGTACGGACATTGGTCGAGAAGACATACTAAGACAGACTACGCTTCCGAAGAAGAAAGTGACTTTCAAGAAGGAAGCGGAACACCTAGGACCAGATCAAGAGTCCGGGGAATGGTCGAAATCAGAAGGAGACAGTGAGGAAGAGAATTTGTTTGGCGAGTCGGAAGAATGGGAGGATGACTCAGAGAAGAGTGGTGATGATCAAGACAGTCTTTGCATGATATTAGCAGAAGAGAAAATGAGGCACCAAGACACGGAACTACAAACAGACTCTTCCGCAGGAACTTACAGACTAAAGCAACAGGATGCATACGTAGGAGAAGAGCTTGAGAAGATGGCGGTGTCAAGGAAACCATTCAGGGTGCTATCATGCAACTCAAACGTCAAGACGAAGCTGGAACCGGATTATGACAGGGAAGTCTTGAGAAGGATAGTTTGCGTTAAGCTAAAAGACGACATCCACAGTCCAGGAGAACTGAATGGTCAAATGACAGAACCAAAGTGGACAGAACCAGATCAGCCGATTACCACAGGGACGAGGAAAGGCGTTCGCAAACGGGCATGCATGAGATACAAACGGTATTGTGACGACTTCTTGATTGACAAAATACAACCAGATGAGATAAGCGAGGAGTTGGTGAACATGGGTGAGCTGGTAGTCGATGAAGAGTGGCAGATCATCAACGACATCGAGCATTGGAACTGGATCAAGAGGAAGCTGAGCCTACCATAGGAAGAAATTTCAAGACCAAGTTTGAGATTCCGAATGAATATTCAGAGAACATCCTGGTCACAGACAGCGACTTCATTTTGTCAGATAGGACAAGTGCGATCTGCATAACAGCGGATCAAAACAGAACAGAGCAAACGAAAGAATGTTTACAAAGATACTGTTTGGTCTAACGGGCATCGTTAAAATCCATTTTTACATATTAGGAAATAGACGTAAAATTGAATAAGCGAATACCCACCGTTTTGAGGAAACGTTTTTACTTTAGCAGAGCTTGGAAACAGGTTCTACGGTTTTCTCTCGAGAGGTTTAGCACCCATCGCGCTTAGGATAATTTTCAGCTTACGTGGGGGACTAGACATGGGGAGATTAGAAGGGGGACTGGTTAAGATAGAGGTTGCTGGTTGAAAAGTGTAAGAAAGGAGGACACATTATAGTAACTATACACTCGATGTCGTCAATTTAGTTACATTGGTAGACCCAGAGTCTAGAACGAGCCATCTTTAGACTCAGAAAAAGAGTTGCAACGAGAGGATATCCAAATTTAAGATCGAATTAAGGTAGGTAACCTGGTCGGATCGGGTGGGGTGATCGGAAATAGACAGTTTTTGGAAACCAAGAGGAGAATACACTAGAGACCCTTAGTAGGGGGGGAGGAAAAACGCGTGACAATCAGGTACCAGACTTTTTTTTACGAAAAGACCACATTGGTCGTCTTTGAATTTTGGGAATACTCACCATTTTTTTGTTAAATAAAAATTTTTTCTCAGTTAGTTTTTTTTTCGTTTTTGGTTTCAAATTTATTTTGTTCTTAACGAATCGGAAATCAAAAGGCACTTGCTAACAAGTCGTTTTTCGACTTGCGTCGGATTAATAAGGGGAAGGTAATTTCAGGGTGGTTAGCAGGCAAAAATTTGATTAACAAGATTAGCTTTTGGGGACTTTTTAAAACTAGACCTCTAGAGGTGGTACTGGGATGGTGGATCAGAAATTCCAATACTCGACACAAGATACTGGGGATATCATCAATCAGACGAAGAAACACTTGAGCTACGAGAATGGAAGAAGTGCAAGGAGTCTAGCCGGCGGTCTCTGGATACTGATCTAAGTGTCCCAACACTAAGGAACAAAAGATCCGACTGTCCCAACACTAAGGAATTACAGATCCGACTGTCCCAACAGTAAAGAACAAGAGATCCGATTGTCCAAACACTCGAGCGAAGTCTCCTAGGAGGGTTCAGAGAAGTCCTGGGACAGTACCAAGTGCCCTAACACTTGAGCGAAGGGTCCTAGGAGGGTTCAGAAAAGTCCTGGGACAGTAAAGATGTGTCTCAACACTTGAGCGAAGGGTCCTAGGAGGGTTCAGAAAAGTCCTGGGACAGTACGAAGTGTCCCAACACTCGAGCAAAGGGTCCTGGGAGGGTTCGAAAAAGTCCTGGGACAGTACGAAGTGTCCCAACATTCAAACGAAGGGTCCTGGGAGAGCTTAGAAAAGTCTTGGGACAGCAATGAAGTGTACCAACACTTGAGCGAAGGGTCATAGGAGGGTTCAAATAGTCCTGGGACAGTACGAAGTGTCCCAACACTCGAGCAAAGGGTCCTGGGAGGGTTCGAAAAAGTCCTGGGACAGTACGAAGTGTCCCAACACTCGAACGAAGGGTCCTGGGAGAGCTTAGAAAAGTCTTGGGACAGCAATGAAGTGTACCAACACTTGAGCGAAGGGTCATAGGAGGGTTCAAATAGTCCTGGGACAGAAACGAAGTATACCAACACTTGAGCGAATGGTCCTACGAGGGTTCAGAAAAATCCTGGGACAGTAACGAATTGTCCCAAAAAAGAACACTAAGGAGAGTACATAGAAGTACTAGGACCGCGCCAAAGTGTACCACGACACCATCGAAGTATCTCAACACTTAAGCGAAGGGTCCTAGGAGAGTACCAAGAAATCCTGGGATAGTATTAAAGTATCCCAAAACTAGAACGAAGGGTCCTAAGGACTGAAATTGATTTAGATTCAAAATTGATTTAGACTAATTCGATTGATTTAAGTTTTTAAAACAATAGTAATTTTTTCTAGATTTTCAGTCGGATTTTACAATAGGGACTGACTTATAAATATTAAAATTGTAAATAAAGAAAATTGTGTATAAGAATCATGCAACGAAATAGGGTATCGTTAGTTGAAAGAAGAGCAACAGGACTCAAACAAAATCAAACCTCGCCTCGTCGCAACGGAAAGCAACACTATCAAATCCGAAAGTATTGAGAAAGAATATTTCAGTGAACATGATCGATACAAGAAGCGTAAAGCAACATAAGGCCAAGGAGAAGGCAATGGAATAACCAAATGTACCGGCTAGAGAAACCAATCTTGAGACAACATGTTAGAGTATTGACGGGGTGGAAAGAAAGACGACGGAATCAACACCAATGCCAAATGCAGAAGAACAAGAAAATAAAACGATAGAGTTCTCACCATTGTAGAAGAAACAACAAGCAACACGCCGGAATCGACAAAAGACGATTCTCAAACAAAAAGAACGTCCTTCACAGAAAGGATTGCAGCGATTGTCGGGATGAAACCAAAAGAGAAAGAGGAGGTAATGCCGACCACCGAGAAATGCAAAACGTTTGAAACAGTTTCCGCAATTACAACAGAAGCCAAACAGTACGAAAAGCAGGTCGCACATGGAGCAACGGCTAACCAATAAAAAACAATTTCACTTGAGCTGGGCGATTTGATGGCAAAGTTAAAAAAAACCGAGGAGGACCGCCAAGAGCTAAAAAAGGGAAGTAAGACACAACAAGAATGAGAACCTAGACAACTGCTTTAACCAGGCAAGGGCGACGGAAGAGAAGCTACAGCAGATGTCAGACAAGGTAGAAGCTACGGACACAGAGCGAGAAAAACATAGCAAGAAGGATATGGAGGAAATGAATAAACGGCATGGGACCGTGAATGGGAAGTTGTGGAGCTGCAACTTCCTGTGCCATGCAGTCCAAACCGGATGCACTCTTGAGAAATCATTAA